ACGACCCGCGGGCCCCGGCTCACCTGCCTTTTAGAAAAGTCCGGCTCGGCGATCCCCCTCCTCTTGCATCGCGTGCAGCTCCCGACACAGCCCCGACACTTCCGCTTCTGACAGACAGCAGCAGCGGCCAATCAGGTGGGTGGGCTGGATAAATGACCCTGGTGGGCCATATCCGGCCTGCAGGCTGTACTTTGAGAACCCCTGTGTTATGACCATACAATGCTTGTAAGCTGTTATGCATTTGAATACCACCAAGTGCCTTTCTTTGACACTGCAGGTTTGTTTGGAGATGGCTATCATAATACAGGTGATCTTTGTTTAACTATTACTGTTCAGCAAGGTGCTTTACAAGTGGTACTTATAACCAGTTCTCAATGTTCCAGCAATCACAGTGTTCCCGCGGTCACATGATTGTGATCCAGGTGCCTGGCTCATGATTACGACATTGCAGCATCCTGCAGTCACACAATCACCATTTGTGGCCTTCTTTGCCAGCTTCCTACAAGCAAAGTCAATGGGGAAGCCAGCAGGAGGTTGTAAATGGTGACCATGTGATATCCTCATTTAACAACCCGTGGTGATTTGCCTAACAACAGCAACCAGAAGTGCTGGAATTTCCATCACTAAGTTGTGTAGTCATGTGACATTGTGCTTTACGACTGCATTGCTTAGTGACAAAAATTATGGTCCCAATTACTGTTGTTAAATGAGGACTACCTGTAATATTTTTATTTGAGTAAAACTCACTCTTTCCTTATGTCACAAGGTGGCTTACAATGGTAAAGTCCTGTACAATAAAATTAAAGAATTATAAAATCCAAACATTAATAAAATTTATAAACCTCAGGAACTAAAATCACCAGCCAGCTTTTTTTAAGATAAAAAAGGTTAAGGTGCTCTCAAGTTGAGCTTAACTTGTGGTGACTACATGGACACAACCATGCAGAAAACAGTATCATAAATACAACTCTGAACAATCCAATAAAACCAACTCAGGAAAAGGCTTAAAAGAACAAATCAATCTTCGGGGTTCATATATTTTGGGGATGTATATTATTCTTAGGGGGGAAAAGGAATGGTTATGCACAAAACTGAATACTGTATACCATTTATTTTACAGTGTCTTGTGTTTTCTATATTGGAATTAAGGTTTTTAAGAATGAAAAAAAAAGCCTGCATTCACTAATGAGTGTAACACACCAGTTTTTCCAAACACGGAGTTGTGCATCTGTGCATACATTAGTGGCAACTGTCAAAATCTTCCTCGTTTCCCCTTTGCCCACCCCCTTCCATACCAAAGACAAGAATGTTGCTCTCTCACCCCAGTAGGCTGTCACCTGTCTAAATCTGTCCTTGTGTCAAAGGCATATATGGAGAAAGTGAGTGTGGCAGCCAATTACGTTCTGCTTCTAAAATAAACTCTGCTCCCTTTGCTCCCATCTCTGCATTAAAACAATGTCCTCCAGGGAAAGATTTTCAAAGGACATTTGATCTCACAAGCTTTGGAATTCTTTTGAGGGACCTAACCCGGAAGCACCCTGATTCTGAGCCTATGTTCCTTGGAATCGCCAGGAGATGAGCACCACTCTTAATTATAAGTCTTTTTCTAAAGAGCAGCAAACTATGGATAACTTGGAAAAACAGCTTATTTGTCCCATATGTTTAGAAATGTTTACTAAGCCAGTGGTTATCCTTCCGTGTCAGCACAACCTCTGTAGAAAATGTGCCAGCGATATCTTCCAGGTATGTTGATTTAAACATTTTAACCTCCAGTTAATATTATATCTAGTATAATGATCTCATACTACAAAATCAGGAGAGTATTACTGTGTTGGTTTAATAACCAGGTTTTTATTTAAATAAGGAGAAAATTAATCAGAGGAAAAGTTGTTTGTTGTTTATCTTATGTGTGATTTTGGATCCCTTGTATTTGGAAATGTCCCTTTTATATATATGGACTGAATTGTTATTTCAAGTATTTAGAGCTATTAACACATAAACTCATTCCTGCTGTTCCTTAACACCTCTAAAAATGGCAAATTTCTCTCTAGCATAATTTGTCATATTATTAGCTGCCAAGCATTGAACAAAATGATACTGAAAGTTATTTATCTTTTTTTCTACTTTTTCAAGACTTGACCTCATCTGAAGTCCACTAATGCCATAATAGTGACTACATTAAGGCATTAGATCATATCTTAAGTAGATGGTGTGATAAGTATCTTGTGATGTGCAGAATAATTGAGAAATAATATGTGATTGGCTTTACAACCTTGTTTATTGCTTGGCAAGAACAGGCCTCAAATCCATATCTTCCAACCAGAGGAGGTACCACTGTGGCTTCAGGAGGTCGATTCCGCTGCCCCTCCTGTAGACATGAAGTAGTTCTGGACAGGCATGGAGTGTACGGCCTTCAAAGAAACCTGTTGGTGGAAAATATAATTGATATATATAAACAGGAATCTTCCAGGTAATTAACCAATTTCTATCTTTGAAGCATTGTTTAACAATCCCAGTTTTAACTTAGTGATGTTTGCCATTGAAACACAGGAAATTAGATTCCTCAAGAGTCAAAATAGAGAATTCTGGAATATCCAGGAATGGGAGTTTTAATGCTAAGCAGTTATGAAAGGAAAACCATAATAAGCTATCAACAGGAGTCCTCATCAGATCTTTTTAATTGCCCAAGAAGTACCTAGGAGTCTTATGGACTTTGTTGGGTCATTGAAATACTAATTCTAATTGGTTTGTAAACAGTAAGTTTTGTTTGCTATATTTGTGTGTCCTATAGCCTATCCTGCCCACCGCTTCTTTTTAGAGGGTATTTTTAAAAACTAAACATTAACAACAACAGCAAAAGAGAGCTAATATCTGCTTCTGTGCTCCTCCTTTTTCCACAGCTCGGCATCTACCTGACCACACCAGTTGTTTATGTTTGGGCCTTAGCCTATCTCTTGTGTTGGTCAAGAAGCTTAAAACACATACAGTACAATTCTCATGCCAAATTCTCACAAGTAGGAGAAAATATGATAAATCTATCCCTGGAGTTTAGCTTAACTTTAGAGAGGGCCTCCTCAAACCTGTCCACATGACTATATGTTCTTCTTCTGTATGAAAGCATTTCATTATTTCTCTACAGATGGAATGCTTTCATGTGGAGAAGCATTAAATGATAGGAGCAAGCATGAAAGAGCCCCTAAAGAAGTTTCCAAAGATAAATACCTTATTTTAGCAGTTTGCTATACACAGTAGACTTTTATGTCCAGGACAACTAATAGACAGCAATAACCTTTTGACAGCTGTAATTTTAATGCTTGGAATGATGCTACACTATGGGAATTTTAAAAGACAGCACACAAACATCCAGCATTCATTGGAGCACCAGAAAAAAAAGGAGGGAGGGAGAGAGGAAGGAAGGAGCCAGTAGAAAATAGTATTTAAGGATGTTGTCTCCATATTCAACAGCTACATAAAGATCATTACTGTTGATACTGTACCTATATGTGAATCTTCACTTTATTCTGCTGTGTTACTGGCCTAGGTCTGTAAAGAACCTCAGGGAACTTTACTTCAGATATTTTAACCAGGGTAGTTTGACATCTTCTATTCCTTGAGTTTAAGATTAAGTAAACTTCCTTGCACTTGTATATGATTTCAAAAATGGCTCATTATATGTATTGTTATATGTATCAGATAGGAGAATACTACCCAAACCAACTATATAGGATGCAATAGGGAATTGGTCATGCTGAGTGATTTCTCCTTGCAATTTCTTTCTTTGAATTTTAAATCAAATCTATAATAATGTACAAGCATAGTGCTATGATGATTGTATACTATTGTTATGATAAATTCAAAGCAGTGTAATAGATATTATATCAAAGACTTTTATTCTGAATTAATTCTATCATGAAAACAAGGGTTGTTGACTCTTCAGCAAAAAAAATTATCTTGTGCTTTCAATTTTTCAAATGTGGTCTTTTCATTCTGCTGTAAATGATGAAGGTCCATAAAAACTAAATAGTTTGTTTAGTTTCAGAATGTGTATTGTTATACTTGCTTTTAAAAATGAATGCTTCCAGGACAGTTTGTATAATATGAAAGTCCTAATAAATTCTGTACTTTAGGGAGACCCTAATATGACAGCACCTGGTTGACCTTGAGTGATCTTAACAAAGCTACATAAAATCAGATCTGGTTAGTACTTGGGATGGAGAACCACCAAGAGCAGAAAAGTATTCTAGATTAAGGCAGTGGAAAACATTTCATTTCTAAAATAAAAATTACATGAATGTGTCCATAAAATTACCAGCAGTCAACTCAATTCAAGGGAGAGTATATTCCCCATTATATTGTGAAAAAAAATCAGATATTGAGGAAATTGCAACCGACTGGTGATTTTTTTTATTTGCAAACATTTGACGGAATATAATAATATCTGTGACACTAACAAAATTCCAAGCACTTCCACCCTACTATTTTGCACCACTGATCTGACTAATCTTGTGTCATTGTTTGTTTTTGGTAGCTGAATCCATTTATCTCTGACTCTGCTCTGATTTATTTAAAACTACAGCAACAGTGTGTGTGTGTGTGTTTAGAATCACCTTGCAGATCTTGTGTGTTGTCCATTTTCCCATCTTGGGGGATTGTTGCCAGGTCCCAGCTCCTTAACACAAGCAAACTATTATTTTTCCTCTCCCAGAAGTTCACTGTCTTCTTCCTAGAGCTTATATCTTATATCTTCCTGAACTATTCACACTGTTTTGTATTTATCTTCCCATCCCCCAATCTAGCTACCATAACAACATGCAACCATAGTTAGAACTATTGGGGAAAGGGCCTGGGATTGCAAAATTACCAGAATTTCACCTTCACAACTCACAGGGCTTTTAAATGTAATAGAATAAGGGTGGCAAAGCAGCTAGTAAGCCTTGGGAAGGTTTCGGTACTTTTGATTACATTTTTTCCCATCACAAAAACATCTTAGATCGTTTTATAAATCACTGGATAAATGAATCCATAAACTGAAAACCATGAATGAGAAGATGCTAGCAATTTCTTTCTTTTTTATGTGGAGTGGGTATGCTTCTCCACAATTGGTAATAGCTCAGGGAGATGGGCACTGAGCAGATAATATTTTTTGCATCCTCCTATTGATCAGACAGAGGAACAGATTGGTTTATCCCATATCTTTGTCTGAGTTTGACTTCTTCCCATCTTGAAACTGAGACAACTGCTTTGTGACTGATGGAGAATGGGGTGGAAATGCTGCTGGTGTGAAAGTGGCTTTAGACTTCCCTTATGTGGAAGATGCTTTAAGCTACTGCCCCAACTGCATTTAAAAAATAATGATTTTATTTTGGTGCTTTATCATAAGGAGACAACCAAATTATTGGGAACATTTGTCAACTAACTTCCACAGAAACATTCTTTTAACTTTTCATAATGGCCTTTCCAAATGCTCATGTCCTTTCCATCTTTCGCTCCATTAGGAGATAATCTGTTTTAAATCCATTATTTGTAATATTTCTCAAATAGCCCAATCTGTTACATCTTTACTGAGAAGCAGTTCCATTTAGTTCAGCGGAATTTTCTCCCTTGTAGCTTTTGCAATAGCAGTGTTTTCTGACTTATTTAATTGAGCATTTCTGGGAATGTTCTTCCAAGACAACACAACTTCTTTAAGTGCTTCAGGGATCCCTCCTATATCCACCAAAGCCTCCTGAAGCACAGCAAGATTTACACTGGATTTTGCTGATAGTCAACTGGGCACCATGGCCTTTTTAAAATCTGTCTTGCCTTTGTCTTAATTGCTGCTCAGAGGGCCTGGCATGAAGGCCATTCTCAGTGATCATCTCATATTTTGTTTGTATATTTCAGAAATGTGTTCATTCCTGGCTAAACTTTTTATGAAATTCTGAACATCTGTATATAATAAAAACAGTAGAATAAAAACTGCCATCTTTTTTCCCTTCTTAGAGGGATGAATAAGCACGTAAAGGGACAAGGAGGGAGATGCTTAGTTATTCGCATCTCCTGTCGCTGACCTCTCAGTGCTGCTGCTGTATCATAAATTGGAAGCTGCAAAAATGGCACCCAGCCAGCACTTTTCCCTCCCATGAGGGCAACATTTTTCATGTATGACACACGTACGATAAAAAAACAGGTGGAGCTTCAATTGCACTGTCATGGCCACCATCTTAAGTTTTTTGACTATACCCTGCAGACACCCCAGGTGATTTTATTTCCCCAGAAATCTTTCCATTCTCAGGGCCATCACTTCTTTATATTGCATCCCGTACTGTTGGGGAGAGACCACTTGTTCACTGGCACAAAGTACACTGTTGCATACCAGTGGTCATAGATTCAGTTCCTGATATCTTCATTGAAAAGAATCAGTTAGCTAGGTAATAGGAATTTGCTTGCTCTCCCTGTGATCCCAGAGAGCTGCTATCAGCCCCATAGTTACTGCCCAAATAGAGAAATATTTTGACCTGCCCCTTTGGTTTGATCTTTAGTTTTTAAATCATTCTGATCTGGACTTGCTTTTTTCTCCTAAATTAACTCCATTTACAGGCCTGAAAGAAAGACTGAGCAGCCAATGTGTGAAGAACATGAAGATGAGAAAATTAATATTTATTGCCTGAATTGTGAAGTGCCCACATGTTCTATGTGCAAAGTTTTTGGTGCTCATAAAGACTGCCAAGTTGCTCCCCTCACGAATGTTTACCAAAGGCAGAAGGTAAAAAAAAAAAAAAACCCAAAAATCTTCCTCTTTTTAATGGTTTATCATCTGGAGGATTAATAACTGTCCTGTTTATAAAATTAATTTGTAAGAATGAATTAGTGATTCATGATTATTCTCCACTGAGGTTATCTTGTTTAGATCTTAGGTCCTTGAAGGATGTTTTTTTTAATCTACTCAATGTGCTGCTCCAGCTGGCAGGCACACAGTTCCAATCAATGTGGAATATTTGAGCCAATGCTGCCATTCCCAATATGATGCCCTCCAGATGTAATAGACTGAAACTGTCAGCATCCCCAATAATCATGGTGGGGAAAAAGTGAAGTTTCCAAACCAATTCCAATTGTTGCCAGAATAATAAATATAAGTTACTGGTGTGCAGATGTCCCATACCATATAGCCAATCCAAGTGGTTACCTGAGAAATGTTCTAATTTCATGGCCTCCAAATGGATCTGGTATCATATGGAAACATTTCTTGGTGTTTTTCACATAGCTGCCATCATGTATTGAGTATCCTTACAATAAAAACTAGACAACCTGGGACCCGTTGGGTCATCATTTCAGAGATATTTCCATACCAGATTCCTCAATGGCTTCAACGGTGGCAGAACGTCTAATGTACTGCCTTCACTGGAAAGGTTCTTAAAAATTCAGGGAGATATTCAGAGATGTATCTACCTTGAAAATAGTCCATGTCATTCATACGGAACTGTATAGCACAGTCAAACATCAGGAGCTGATCACAGGAAATGTTTTATGATAACTTTTATGTCATAAAATGTTTTATAAAATTTGCCAAATTTCAGTTCCACAGGAGTAATGGGTCCAGAGTTTTGGATGCATTCTGTAAGTTAGTCCATTTGAGGTACCTTGGTTCGAAAATTGTTGGCTTCTGATGCACCATTTCTCCCAGTTAAAGGTTACAAACAAACAAATATGAGAGTTGTAGTAATATATAGATACTTATCTAATTTCTTCAGTCTTTGTGCCCTATCAAAGTAAATTACTTATATCAGTTCCAGTTCCATATTTCATGCAATTCACCATAAGCATCAATTCTTAACCACAATAGCACAAAAATGATAGAATATGCATCATAACATCAGGATGGAGACCTTTGTGCACCCTTTTTATACTGGCACTGCAACATCACATACAATACAAATACCATACATAATGGACAGTGTCCCAATGTCATGACATACATTTCAACCCTTGCCCCAACTCCCCACCCTTTCCAGTGGGTGCCTATGCAGCCCACAACAAAATATCTTCTGGAGGATTTCTTCAGATGGCCAAAATCTGCAAGATGACGGGCACAGCATTGCAATCAAGGCCCTACCCCTTTGTACACGCAGCAGCATTGAATGCATGTACAAAAAAGGGTGGGGCTTCTACCACAGTACCACATCCACCAACTTGCAGATTTTAATCATGCCGCAAAGATGCCCATGCCTCCTCTGCAAGTGAGTTCCCCTAATATTTTAGTCTAACCGGGTCTGCAACAGGTAGAGGCACTCCAGTGGGACTGCCTTTTATCTTTTCACAATGTTTCTAAATGTGACAGGAAAGAAATATAAATAGTAGATTGCAGACCTTTTTAAATTTTTCACTGATAGCTTCAAGTGCTAGCAAGACAGTCTCCCACTCATCATCAGATCGAAGTCTGGGGGGCCACAGGGCAAGCTGGAACACTTTTCCTCCCCACCCCAGTTGCTGTTGATCCCAGTCCTTCTAATTATATTTTATGATTACTGTTTTTCTTCTTCTCTGAAATCTTCCTAGTTTGATTCTAGCTTTTTTTAAAAGGTTATAACCAAATACCTTCAGTCTCTGATTTCAGGTTCTGGCCTCTATTCTGAAGATACCACTATCTGCAAACTAATATATTTCTGTCTGTTGTTGTTGTTGTTGTTGTTGTTTAAATTATTAAGGATTTTTTTATTTTGCCAGTAATTTCTTGGACATGGAATAGAAAAGTTCAGCTGTGCTCCCAGAATCCCTTGCTGCCATCTGTTAAAGGTCTATTTATTTTTAACACAGCATTCATTAAACAGCTGTTTATACGGAATATCCTCTTGAGAAATGCAACACAATTTCTTGAAAGACTTGCTGAGGCTGCCACGATACAAGGAGAGCTTTTGGAAGAAGCCCATTGTTATATTTATCTGTCAATACTAAACTGAGTAGATGTTTGGGAGAAAAAAATATCAGATTGAAAAAACTGCATATATTCTGTTGTATCCTCCTTTTCTGAAATAACACATAAGAAATAGTGCTTAGAAAAAATATCTGACTAGAAAGTGTTATGCTCATGCATATCAGTCATTAGATTTCCTGCCACAGATGATAAGAAATATCTCTATATTGTGAATATATAAGAAGCATTTGTTACTGTATGTTTATAGCAAAGCTTGCCATTGTATGTTCATACTAAAAATCCCAGGAAAAATTATGAAAAACTCAGAGGATGGAATAAGTAATATGAAACTGTCTAAAATATTTTCAGTGATAGAATTAAATCATGCAAATCAGACTTCAATATGAAAAGAAAACATTTCTGTTAAATAAATTTGTTATAATAACTTCATCTTTTGCAAAAGTATTTTATTCAGCAATTTTATTTATGTGGAATTTTTAGAAATAGGTTGTATCTCCTTAGTAACTAAACAAAATATGCACTTTTTAAAAGTATATATTTATTTTATATCACAGTCTGAACTTAGTGATGGGATCGCTGTGCTGGTGGGAAGCAATGACAGAGTACAAGGAATTGTAACTCAGCTGGAGGAAACCTGCAGAACAGTTGAAGTAAGCAACACTGTTTTGATTCCATTAAACCGAGTTATTATTATTAATAATGCATTTATTTACTGGCAATACAAGCTACATGTTTGTGATTGTGCAGCTTAAAAATGCTATTTTAGTTTTGTGTTCTAATGTGCTGTATGCAGCGTGGAAGAGGAATTCCAGTTTTAGGCTGCACAGGTTTTTTTTCTGAGAAAGAGTTCTTGCTCCTCTGCCTTATGTTAGTCTATATTTAGCTTGCACTCCCCAAGCCTCCAAGCTCTAAGACACTGTTTCTTAAAGTGTCGCCCTAGGATCCCTGGGGATCCCCAAAGACCCTCCCAGGGGTCCACGAAATCAAAATTATTTGCCAGTGTATGTTGAAAAAAAATACAGTATTAAAATCCCATCAAACAATCATGAGAAGCGGTAGTAGCAGTAAATGGGTCAATTTTAATTTTTAATACAGTAATTATTGATAAATATAACCCAAACAAACAAAAGCTATTTTGAGGTCCTCCATAATTTTTAAAAGTGAGAAGGGGTCCTGAGAGAAAAAAAGTTTAAGAAACACTGCTCTAAGATAAGAAGGGGCTACAGCATGCCCAGGGATTCATCTTCATCATGTCATGAAGATCCTTCCAGAGGAGACATGGGAATTATTTGGTCTTAGGGACAGAAATTAAGTCAATGTCTCATGACCTTTAGTCTCCAATTACATTTCTCATGCTCTAAAGCTGCATCACCCAACAGTGTAAGAAATTCATACAGAGCCCCAAGCAGCTCCAGGTTTGGAGGAACAAATCAGAGTATTGGTGCCCTAGAAATTGGTCCAGGATGCTGGCACTACTTACTAAATTTTTGAGCAGCAGATAAAAACAAATGAATCCCTTGACTCATTCTTATATTAAAAAGGAACATAAAATGAAAATAACTACCAACAACAATGCTTAACTTTTTCATTGCCAGGTAAAATCACAAAGGGTTAATTTCCTGATGTCACTTGGGTATCATGACCTTGATTTATGACCTGCTGATTGGCACCTCTTTACATCAGGAGTCACAACTCCCATAAGAGTCTGTTAGAGAATGTCAGAGCTTAACTAGAAAACTGACTCTGCACACTTATTTTGGATAGGTCAGTAGAGGTATCCAAGGCCTGACACTTTTGGCATAAAGTAATTTCAGAAATTGGCATTTTTCTTCCAAGATAAATTAACATTTTTTTTAAAAAAAAAATAGGAAACTGACATTAGAAAAGCAGATTAACCCTATCACTGGATTTTCCTTTTCTTATCAAGCCACTCCCTATAAATGATTGTCAGCCCTAAAAGGGCCAATAGCTAATTAGATAGAAGGACAGTTTGGGACTGTAAACCACCAAAAAAATTAAGATATCTTCCTATCTCCCTCTCTCCCCCTTCCTCCCTTCCCTTCCCTTCCCCTTTTCTGTTTGTAAACTTGTTTAGAGGGATGGGCAGCTTCTTCTGAACTGGGGCTATCACTTACTGTTCTGCCAGTGAACAGCAGCAGGCCTTCCCATAATACGATGACATCAATGAAAGAGGTGAAGCATAACAAGTTCAGCCTGTTTTTTGCTGGGTTGGGAGACAGTTGGAATATTTCATGGTGAAAACTGGGGCACTTTGCCCCACAGAAACCTTGTGCTCTTTTTTGCATTCTTAAATTTTCTTTCAGTCCCCAAAATCAAGCAAAAATTATACTACCAAAACTTTGCAAACGAATTTTGGTGATGCAGTCTAGGGTGCTTTGGAGCCAACATATCGCCTATAGGTTGTGGGTTGCCTACCCATTTTCCCTAAGTATTTTTTCTGTATTTAAGCAAACATTAGGGCTTCCACAACTATGGTGATACACTCCTCTTTTTTCTCCTTGGTTTATTTAGGTTATAGCTATGTCAGTTCTCACCTACTGCTACATAAAAAGTTCAGTTTACAAATTCAGATCAAATGCTGATCTTGGAAAATCAGATGTCTCTATGAAGCCCACAAACTAAAGGCAACCAATGTCTCCTACTCTTGTTCCCAATGTTGAATATCCAAACAGAAGCTTTTGGTAAACATGACATTTCTATTTATCTTTCATTATCACTATATATATAGTGATGATAAAAAGGCAGAGTTGTAGCCCAGCAAATCTACCTACAAGAAGGATTCAGACAGTACTGGCTTTTATGGGGGTGGCATCACAAGCGCCATAGGTAATGCTTTTTTTTCATCTGGATGTTACTATAGTAGCAGTGAATTTGTTTTGAGGACACAAATGCCGTTCATAAATCTCCTGCAAAATCTTTGCATCAGTAACTTAACTGAAACATATGTATGCATTCACCTGTTTTAAGCAACTATACCAGGAAGAAACCTATCTTAGCTTGAGGTCCATACTAGAGGCAAGAGACATTCTCTGATATAGCATTGGACAATTACGGATTTGGAGAAGTGGTTTTTCCTAGCTGCCTTTTAAATTAAAATCACCCTGCCCCCCTGAAAGTTATTGTTTGCATCTTTGGAGGATAAACTTGCTTTGTCCCAAAATGTTTTCCACCATGAGACACATAGGAATGTTGAGAGTGGAATTTTAATCAGAAAAGGACAGAAAAGCTAGTAATTGGAGGCAGGGAACAGGTGCACTTGGTCTCTGTGAGAGATTGTGGGGAGGCTGCAAAAGGAATGGATGAGAACATGGACACAAACAATCAGCAGATAAAAGGAGACTAGTCAGTTTCCAGCTTATCTCATAAATGACAATTTAGTTTGGATGAAGTCAAATCTGGGAAGAAAAATGTCAAAGCATTCAAAGAGACTCCATCTTAATTAACTCATAAATGAGGCTGGGAATTTCCCATTATGTTTTCCAAAAATCTGTACTTACCCTAGACTAGCATTAAAAATATCTTACTAAAATCTGTATAGTTCTTGCTTTCTTGATTTTGCCCAGCTAATGTACAAGTTAAAAGTCTCTGAGTGAGATATACATCATAAAGTAGGCAGGGACAGTACAAAGAAGTATGTGGGAACAAGACAAAATCTAAATAAAATGTAATTAATGAAATATGGTTAATTAGATTACTCTTTCTGTAGTTAACAAATTGTTCTTCAGCCATATTGAAAATTATAATTCAACTGCAACTTTTGGACCAGCTTTATCAACAAGTTCAAGATGTGTCAGGTTGTGAGACCCTGATTTAAATTTTCCAATATTCAACTGAAAAAAAAATGAGGTAAAGAATGCTTACATTTCAACATGCCATTTTAATTAGCAAAAAATCCATCATAGTCCCTTTTGTGATCAAAGTATAGGAGAGGAAATAATATAGCAAACATGGTTAAAAGTTCCTGAAATTTCTGAGCCAAGGAAAGCGAGAAAATATTAGCACTTAAAAGTTAAGATGTCTGCGTACAGCAAGGGTGCTTAAAGGAAGTCTGCATATTGCAAGGATGAAATGTGTTGGTATCAGGAGTTTGCAGACCATAGCAAGCCTTTCAAGTAAATTCACGGTAAGAATTAAACTCACTCCAAAGGATAGATATTGTAATATTGAAGTTTTAGCAACTTAGGGTTCTTCCTTACAGTCAAGCCAATCCTTGAGCTGGCAGAAAACTATATTTACATAAAAATTGCTATCCCCAGTGACAATCCCTACTATCACAGGCACAATGCCAGCAAACAGTGTTGTCTTTATTTCCAGTGTACAGAGCATGTTAAGGACAGGGGCTGCCATATTTCTCTTTCCTCTTACCAGATGTCACCAGCTGGCAGGAAAACATCCATCATTCATTTTCCTTAGAATGGAATGGGGATGTGGAGTGGGGGAGGCAAGTTTTAACGAATGGCTAGACTAGTAGGTTTAGCCATCTGTCAAAACGTGCTGTCACTTTCCACAAATGTTTTGTGCAGCTGCATTCAAAGGGAGCCCAATTCCCAGCTGATATTCCAGAAGAGCACTAAACACACGCTGAAAAGCAACCCAGTCAAAGCTGGCAATTGTGGTAGGAGTTGTATTGGAAAGCAGCAGAGAGAAAGCCAGCTCTGCCTCTCCCATTCACCGCGTGGCCCCTTCTCTGGCACCACCACTATCAGATGCAGTTCAGAGTGACTGATGTTTCAGAGACTAGATGGGTACAGTTAGTGAAAACCTAATTTGAAAGAAATGGATTCTTCCACTGCTCAAAGCAGAATAGCTCTGGAAGACAGTGAACCAGGAATGGGAGTGGAGGGGAGAGTCCAATATGTGAATCTAATGGCCAATAGCTGGAATGGTAGTAGAAATGCATAAAATTTTGCCAACTGCAAAACCTGTGTCAGGATAAGGTAGAAAACACACTGGTAGAGCTAAGGACAGTTGAAGCCAGCCTCAGATGTGGGCTGAGAGTCAGATGAACACAGCAGTAAAAAAGCAGAGTGCTGGGGCATCGTTGTACCATAGCTAGATGCAAGCAAAGAAGGGCTCTTAAATAAATCCAAAACCTTCAAGGTTTTATAAAACAATCCAGTAGGAAATAGAAGCCATCACCAAGACTGATGTTACATCTTTCCAATAATGACTTATTTACATGTAATTCCCACTTTTTTCAAGTGCTTACTTTCCAAATCTAACCTGATAAATGCAGATTTTCATAAATCTTTTCATTTTCATATAACAGCTTTAGCATCCATATACTGTATAATGCATGGTATTTTGGGAAACAGCCTTCATGATCTTTTCTATATTTTGTTTTCCTTGTTTATTTAGAAAGGCAGTACCCCAAACTTGTAATGCATTTGCACAATAGAATGGTCTTACCAATTAAAAATTCCAAGTGCAAAACAGTTTCAATAAAGTTAATATAAAATTGTAATGAAAAAAAATTCCAATATTTTCTACTACCTTAAAAATTGTAAATTTGTAGCAATGTTTTGAGAAGTTTGGGGGAATTTGCAAGTCACCCTGAGCACTTTTGGTATAAACGCCTATTTTAAAAGCTGTTACAGTTCATATTTTTAGAATATACTTCTAAAATTAAAATGATCTTTATAATTAGATAGAAATTTCTATGGCCCTATCATCAGCTTCTTTAAAAAGTTTCAGCATCATTAGATATTATGAGGCAAATCTATTTGGGGTGTTAGTTTGGAATGTTCAAAATTCAAATTCTCTTTTTGATTGTCTCACCTTTGTGAAGCATCTTTGTCTCAATCACTGGCTTCTAGTCTTGGCTTCTACAAGCCACTGTGAAAGACTTAAAAAGAAAAGAAAAAGCTTATTCAGTAAAGAGGCAATTCCCACGATTTATTAAGATAAAAACAGATGCAGGCAACATAACACTTTTAACACAAAGCTAATGATTCATTCACAGGAATGCTGCAAAAGGCAGAAGGAACAACTATGTGAAAAATTTGATTATTTGTACTCAATATTGGAAGAAAGAAAAAGTGAGATGACACAAATAATCACTCGGAGCCAAGAGG